CAATCCGGTGAACCGCCCCATAGATGTAATTCAGAAATTGATGATTTGGAGATCGTGAGATGCGGTCTGGTGTGCCGTAGGTTTAGAAAAACATTTTCTTTATCGTGCCAACGTTTCGATATTTATTGAGATCATCATCAGGGCCTTCCGAAGCCTGCATTTCAACAAAAAGGTTCTCTGATTGATAGCCGATGCGAGTTTCTTTTCATTGCTGGCGATGTCCTTCGATACGTTTTGTTTGGTGTCCATATATAGTTGAAATCTGTTCATAGAATCCCATATTCTTCGTTCTTCTCGTGTAGAAATTTGTGGTGTTTAGTGACAGTTAGTTAATGATTATTAGCCTTTTAATATTATGAGTGCTGCTTTTTACGTAGAAATTCCAACTGATTATTGCATTCAAAACAATTATTGCTAAAGTTACGAGTCCAAAACATAAATAGTTTATGTGTCACAAACATTAATTTCTGATGTAGAAATGTGTGGTGTTTAGTGACTGTTTAGATTATTTGGAGATCGTGAGATGCGGTCTGGTGTGACGTAGGTTTAGAAAAACATTTTCTTTTTCGTGTTTTTTTGTTGTTGAATGCAGGCAATACAAGGCCATGAAGATGATCTCAATAAAGATCAAAACGCTGGCACGATAAAGAAAATGTTTTTCTAACACCAGACCGCATCTCACGATCTCCAAATAATCTAAACGGTCACTAAACACCACACATTTCTACATCAGAAATTAATGTTTGTGACACATAAACTATTTATGTTTTGGACTCGTAACTTTAGCAATAATTGTTTTGAATGTAATAATCAGTTGGAATTTCTATTGAAAAAACAGGACTCATAATACTAAAAGACGGGTTAAATATGAGAAGCAGAGATTAAAAAAAAAACAATGTGCATTACGGGACATCAGCATTATTATGATATCCCATCCCTGTCCACACACCAAAATAAGCAGATGAACGAGCCATAAATGAGCTGCAAAGAACGACACTTATAATCTTTGCCAGACATAAGAGAAAGAATTAAAAATAAAATAGAAATTAACCACACCATTTCGCAATTTTTATCCGGACATGACAATTTTGCAGCAAAGTTATATTTCTTTGCCAAAAAGAAGTCCAGAATGTTAATGAAAAAAAAAGTTAAATGCCGTCTGAACAGCAAAGAACCAGAAGGTTGTCCAGAAACAATTTTGAAAACATTCAACCATCCTGGAATGTACAGGAAGGAAAATTACAAAAATCAATAAAAACAAATTTTAATAGTGCAATACTGAAAACAGGCGCCTCATTACAAATATTGATATGGCCTAGTTACTATTTATTTATGAGGTCGATGTTGTTAGTCAGATGAGCATAATTAATTATAACTATTTATGATATTTGTTGATCGACCTGCAGATAATCTATGTGGAGTTTCAATCTTCATGAAGGTCATTAGACAGGTGAAGAAAGAAGAAGACCAAAACATTTTATTTTTTAATTTTTATTATCATTATGGCACAATATATTCCCTAGGTGTGAAACGTCCAGACAGGTCTTTATTTTTCCCCTGCTCCTTGGCCTAACAGGTTCTATCCGCGATTACTCGGCAAAATATGCTCTGCCTTAAGATCATTGGCCGACTCCATCCGAGATTTTGACCTTTATGTTAATAGTTTTTGACAAAATAAATAGTTATATGTGGAGTTCAATCTTCATGGAGGTCATTAGATAGGTGAAGAAAGAAAACGACTAATTGTTAAGTCACCAAGCTTTCGGCAACTTATAGTGCCATCATCAGGGCCTATTTATTAAAAATTAAAAAATATAAAAATAAATAATGTACAATTAACAATTAACAAAATAAAATAATGTACATACTTTCCCAAGAGTGCAGAAAACGATTAACATGAAAAAACTATTGTAAAAACGTCTTGGGTTTAAGGTTATGAAACCATGCTGGCCATGTGCTTCATAACCTTAAACCCAAGACGTTTTTACAATAGTTTTTCCACGTTAATCGTTTTCTGCACCCTTGGGAAAGTATATACATTATTTTATTTTGTTAATTGTAAATTGTATATTATTTATTTTTATATATTTTTATATTTTTTAATTATTAATAAATAGACCCTGATGATGGCACTATAAGTTGTCGAAAGCTTGGTGAACCAAACAATTAGTCTTCTTCTTTCTTCACCTGTCTAATGACCTCCATGAAGATTGAAACTCCACATATAACTATTTATTTTGTCAAAAACTATTAACATAAAGGCCAAAATCTCGGATGGAGTCGGCCAATGATCTTAGGGCAGAGCATATTTTGCCGAGTAATCGCGGATAGAACCTGTTAGGCCAAGGAGCAGAGAAATAATAAAGACCTGTCTGGACGTTTCACACCTAGGGAATATATTGTGCCATAATGATAATAAAAATTAAAAAATAAAATGTTTTGGTAATAAAATCTATTAACATTCTGCAACTAGAAACTTCATTAACAAATTTTCTTTAATTAGAGTAGAATTCATTTTAAATAGTGAATAATTAAAACTTGCTTTATAACCCGAACAAACAGTATAAAAAGGTTTCAGATTTTATCATTAATCAAGCTAGACTAAATCTTGTTCCTTTAGTATTTTTTTAAATTGATTTTGTAATTGGACTTTCCAATTGGATCTGAGAACGTTTTATTTTAACTCGTTAAAGGAGAAAACAGGATACATTTTGATTAATTACCATAAAGTTTTTGACGTGGAAAGCTAATCTATTAAAAAAATGCGCGGTTTCTTGAGATTTATAAAAATCCCTCTTGACCCACTTTTATGCGAATTATGAAAACAATTTGCCCGCATTTTCTGTGAAAAGCTATATCAATTGGGAAATAATCAAATAAAAAGCGAATGAAATAGGAATTGGCAGGGTTTGTGCAACAAAGGTATATTCGCAAAATTTCCAAAGCCCATAATTTATTGAGGAAAGTGAATACTTGTTAATCTTTTTTATTGAGCAACAATTTGTACAAAGCGCAATAAGTTAGAAAGATCACGTAGAGATAAAATAACAATCCATCGGATAAGCTATCCAGTAATGACAATACTAAATTATTGATTGGATTTATTCACTCCCACTTTCGGAGAGCAGGTCACAAGGTCATAGTCATTTTAGACCTCTAAAAATATTCATTGGGAAGAGATCGAGAAAGTGTGAAATTTTTTTTTAATCTTGAAAAATCATCAAGGACAGTAAGTTTGATGTGGATAGTGCGGGTGGTAGCATACAACGCCCCCTGACGATGGATATTTGGATTACAAGGTTGGGCCATGGTTCCACGCCATACTTACACGTACATAATGTGTATCAGAATTCAAAGTTAGTTAATGTTCTAGGTGAAATGTAACAGAAGGGGCTGCGGTAGAAGGAGGAACGAGGTTATTACCTTGGTTGAATAGAATATAGGTGTGTTTGGAGAGCTATACACGAAGTCACAGTTGGAGGGAAAATATCATTGTCATTTATGTTAGGCCAGTAATGACATCATCTGTAAATACTGACCTAGCCCTGACCGCCTTGTACAAACAAGAAAGAGAAGATCCCATAGTCTAAGGTACTTATTGATATATCGATGCCCTTGAGTATACAGAGCAAACCCACGCGCCAGACAAGACTGAAAGACCGTAGAACATCGAGGAAGACCTGCTCGAGAGATGATTCGATTGTGTATGTCAGGGGTGAAATAATCGAATGTACTTTTCGGGAATTATATTAGAAAATGAATGGCAGTGTCATCGCTGTTTGGAGAGATGTCGGGCTGGGAAGGGTATTCAGAAGTATATACTGAGCACAGTAACAGTGGAATGATGACGACTAAATCCAAGTGGATGGTCAGAAATGGGGTATCTTCCGTTTATATAGAATTAGATGTAGATTCATGAGACAGTAGGATTCGGTTGATGGTGGTGGTTTGTACGGTTTAAACATTGGGAAAAACAGATTTGTAAGACAACATTCTTTTAGTCATATTGAAGGAAAATATTTAAATCAACATTAATCAAAACATTCAATTAAATAAGGTTTTTAATTGAGATAAAAAAGTCAGTGTCACGAGCGGGATTCGAACCCACTTGAGCTATCCTGACTTAGATCCCCTCGGGCATTAACTTCCATCTCAACCCCCCTTTTGAATTTTATATTTTTTTCATTTGAATTTTATTTTAAATTTTTTAATTTTTATCTCAATAATTTTTATAATAGTTTTATCTCAACTAAAAATCTTAATTAATTAAATGATATTAATTGTTAAGCGGACCAGGAAAACTAATGAATTTAATGAGTCAAAATGTCACTAAAGCTCTCCGAGGCAATTTCATTTGTCGCCGAGAATCAAATACATTACACGACATTTGAAAAATGGCAAAAAGGAGGTAAAACTCAAAAGGGGGGTTGAGATGGGAAGTTAGTGCCCGAGGGGATCGAAGTCACGATATCTCAAGTGGTACAACAGCGGCGTACTTAGCCGAAGGTCGTGGGTTCGAATCCCGCTCGTGGCACTGACTTTTTTATCTAAACTAAAAACCTTAATTAATTGAATGATATTAATTGGTCAAGCGGACCACGAAAACTATGGAAGTAATCAAAACCAAAACTTTTTTATCAATAACAATTTAAACTGAACATTACGTTATCCTTAAAAAAAAAAAAAAAAATGTTCAATTGACATTAAGGATTATTTAGTTTCCCAAGCATAATGGATTATTCAGCAAATTTATTTATCTGGCCGCTCAGCGCATTTGAGTGTTTGTAATGTTAAAAATAAACATATAAAAGATAATACCGGGGAGATTATTACCCAATTTATTCTGTTGGTGTATACATCCATAAATCACTGGCGATTTAACTTCAAAAGTTTTAATTAAAATATTTTGTAAAGCTTTCATTTTTTATAAAAGATTATAATAAATTTGTTAGGTTAAGCCTGTTTTATTAGGAGATACACATTTCAAAACATTTTTCCAGGGCGTTAAGTCGGCGGTGGCAGGGATGGACTTCACCCTCCAGGCGATGTGGGTGCTGCTTTTCTCCGGGATGTTGTTCATCGCCATATCAGGCAATACGATGGTCATCTGGAGCGTCATCGGTAAGCGTATAAAATATTGAAACACAAAATTACACGAAAAGAAGATAAGGATTTGGATGTACGATGTGACCATTTCTCCTTTTGTAGAGTCCACTAGTCAATTGTTGACCATATTTCAACTTTTTCAAGGTCCTGCCGTATTGTAGTTTCAACCATTTGGCGGAGGTGATTTATCATAGTCTGTTTTTTATAAAGGAGTGTAAAGATTATAGGTTTAATACCAAAAAATTATAGGATAATTATAGGGTATGGATAGGGATAGAAGCTACAGATGCTCTTGAATCGTGTCCTAACGTCTGTGTTCTATTTTTGTTAGACTTCACTATTCAGCTTTAGACTGTTAATCAGGTCACATAGCCTGCTAGTTGTTTTTGTTTTCTAACAGACTGCTTGTGGTTTTTCTTCACATAGCAGAAATCTACCCTTAGATAGACCCTCACAGTCGCATGTAATCTGCAGTTACGTCTTCTAATTGCCAAAATCTACATAATGTTTCTTTTGCCAGTATGTCTATTTGGTATAATGCCTTCTAACTTACCAAAATCCAAGTTTTATTTATCCTACTGCAGTAATTTTTCCGTGAGTGTTGGGTACGGTCCCTCTATGAACTACCATGCGTCCCGTTCATAATTGCTTATCCAGCAGGATTAGGACTCCATTTTTAATATGTCCTTTTTGTGACAAATTGATTGTCTACTCTTGGCCAGTACATCTGCCTACGGTGCCCGGGAAGCTAAGCAAGGATCAAGATATTGTCACTGACTGTTATCTTGGAGTTGTACTGACTTCAAAAATTAGGTGATTCACGATATAACCCGCAGGAAAATATATGCTTAGGAGCATTAAGAACATTCCGAAATCAATTTCTGCTCAGAACAACTAAAGTCACAATTTATAGGACGATTCTGAGGCCAGTAGTCACATAGGGATCCGAATCGTGGACACAGTATCAGAAGAAGAAAAAACAGTTAGCTAAGGGTAATTTTTAGATTGGCGGTGGAAAACACCATTTACACATCTAGTAATAATGCAGCAATGAACAAATTGTACAAGAATGAAGTTTAGTAATAATGGTAGCCGACAGTGCTGTATATCGTAGGAAGGGCATCCTGAAGGCCGCCCAAGTTGCAATCGTTGGAAGATGTGGAGAAGACCTACAGAATAAAAATATACTGCAGTGGAAAAGAAAAAGAGACATCTTGGGTAAAGACATCTTTGTACTGCTATTATGTCTCTCCACACATGGCCGTTAGTTATCTAACTGCTCTAGAAATCTAACTTCAGCCTTTTTATTAGCCTTCATGTTTCTAACTCAGATTCCTTGGTTTAACTTTTTCTTGTTTGGTCTCCGCGGAAACATATGTACTGGGGTCTCCCCTTCTTGTCAGAATTAGCATAGGCTGTATCCTATTACTCGCAATGATTATTTGGAGATCGTCAGGTCCGTACCTGGTGTGACGTAGGTTTTAGAAAAACATTTTCTTTGTCGTACCAACGTTTCGATCTTCATTGGGACAAGAATGACACTTCTACACGGAAAAAACACTTTGAGCGCTGAAGATGATCTTAATAAAGATCGAAACGTCTCACGATCAAATAATCATTGACGGTCGCTAAACACCACACATTACTCGTAATATTTTTATTAGATATTAAGTCACCAGTTTCAAGTTAAACTTAAAAATAGCAAGCAAAGCCTTTAGCCGTACTCTGTGGACATTGTTCAACAGTCGTGTTTCTAATTTGTTTCGGTAGGTAATTACTTTTCTTTATGACAGTTTGAAATTACGTGGAACATATCCCTGACAGTTCTTCATGCTCAGACTAGTGGTAATTTATTTTCTGTCCTCATTTCTCCAAGTTCACGTTGTAACGTACTGTTCATGATCTTACACCAGGCGAGGTCAATTGTGTGCTGCTTGGCTATCAGAGTAGATAAAAATTTTCTTATCTTTTGTTAGCAACCTTTGAATCACCTGATCAGAAATATCTTTTTTGGCAGGTACACACCGTGAAATTTTTAATAATTTCGATAGGTGCGTTAAAGAAAGATGGGCGGTAACTAATCTAATTTTGTAAAGACTATATGGTCAGTTCGTTAAAAATCGATTCTGAGGGGATTTTCATCTAATATTTTTTCAATAATAGAAAAATAATATTTAATTAATAATAATTTAGTTATAATAAAACGAGCTGTAGGCAAATGACTCTAGACAGAAACTCTGACCACTATCAGCTCCACAAAATTAGTGGTTTTTTTCTATCTTATTAATTCGCCTGATAGAAATAAAGGGTTGTCAAATCGTATTTCATGCCTTTCACAGATGGTCAGTACCAGCCAGTAAATTTTCAAACTATTAAATGAACTCGTTCACGTGATATATTCATCTTGCTACCTTTACAAAAACCAATTAGAGAGGAGGTGAGGAGGTTCTGGGTGCTGGTGGAAACGGTAAACTTTTTTGTAGTTAAGCCTGGCGTTTAATTTTATAAGAGCATAGTTGTTTGTTATGCTGACTGTCCTTTTGTGGTCTTTCTTATTGGGACTTTTAATAAATAACTAAGTAGTTGGTGTTGTCATTCCTTTAAATATAAAAGATTATTTTTATTTTTGCTTTATTGATATACACCCAATTTATATTCATGTGGGGAAGCCACAAGTCGACCGGGTCGGTTTCTTTTAAGGAAGGGTAGTATTTGAATACGGACTTCTCGGATGTAAATCCGGTGCTGGGAAATATTCCCAAATCCTTGGCCGAACCATGTCGAGGCGGATTTAGACCACCCATGCCGATCACGTTCGAACAAACCGCTTTTAATACTCAGTTTTTTTGTTAGAACTTCGAAAATAAAATTAAAAATGTCAGCGTTTTTCGGCTCTAAAATAATTCGCTGAAAACGGTTAATTGTTGGCCCAGGGGATCAAATGGAAAATTTTTCAACCCGCTTTCGAAGTCGTAACAAAAAACCTAATTTGCTCTGATATTAGAGAAACCAAGGGAGATATTTTTAAGGAAGATCTGTATTGTGTTCACGTACTGATGAGAGTCTAAATCTACCGAGTTGCAGAAATCTTGTCATGGCCGAATCATCCCCTCGTTCAAATATAGTTTGGCATATGGCAAGATCGATGTAAGTAGGCGATTTCAACATCCGGCAATAAACTTAAAAACTAATTACTCCTTCTTTGAGGAGTGTTGATGAAACTGTTGATGGTAGAATAAGGTCTAACTTATTTATACACTGTTTAAATTTGAATTTTCAAGTAGTTGGTATAGTATGTTATGGTGATAAGAATATTACGAAGCAGGGTTTGTACTCCCCAGGCACTGCAGCCTTCTGGCTTATTGTACCTTCCTAGTTCCTTAGTTCAGTGCAATAGACTCGATCCTTCACCTTAGAAGTATTAAGTCGTTGACTGTCGCTACTACAATTTCATTCCCTAAGTTTTTTCGTATTTTAGGTTAAATCTTGATTGAGCTGGTGCTTCGCATTCGAAGATAATATGGGTGGTTGTTTCCCCTTCCTGATTACATAATCTGCAGATGGAATTATCGTTGTACATCCCCATGCTGTATAGATGTTTTCTCAAATAGTCCTATTACTCTCTGAGTTTAGCCCTCTCCAGTTGCAGCAGTGATTTTGCCAGTCTTGGTGAAGGTTGTTTTATCATAAATTTACTATGTCTAGCACAGCTATAGTTTATCCACTTCTCCTTTTGTTTTGTTTGAATCCATTCTGCAATGGAGGATTCTATATTTGTTTATGTTATCCCAAGTATAGGATCGGGGCAGTCTGTCTGCTTTCTCGTTACCCAAAATTCCTCTGTGCACAGGCACCCAAGATATCATCACGTTGTTGTGTTTCCCCATGTTTTGGAGATTTTGCATGCATTCATTGACTAATTTTGATGTAATTCTTTTACATGCTAATGCTTTAATGGCTGCTTGGCTATCAGAACTTTTGAGGATTTTTTGTCAATGTAACCTCTTTGAATATTTACCAGGGCACAAGCATTGATGGCATGTATATCTGCTTGAAAGACCGAAGTGTACTTCCCTTTCAAGTAGTTAGTTGAAAAGCTCTATTTCTGATTTTCGGCACGTATCTAAAACGCGCGTTAATTGACATTACTGTTAAGTAAGAATGAAAAAATAGTTAAAATTTTTTACTACTTGATATTTGTTAATAAAACAGGCGCTGATGGTGAAAGAATGTCTTTTCAAAAGCTGGGCAAGAAAGAAGAAATTCAGATGTTGTTTTTTTCTTTTGACCTTATCTGGACTCATTTTACAATTTTTGTATGATTGTTTCCCAACAGGCTAGCTCTTTCAATGATATTCGTCATTATATAGTTTTTGGTACATGTAAAGTTCCAATCTTCGTAAAGGTCATTAGACGGGTGAAAAAAAACTAAATGCTGGGTTCACCGGGATTTCGGCACCTTACAGTGCCATTATCAGGGCCTATTTTATTACAAATTTAAATAATTTCACAGTAACATACAAGTAACAATTAATGTAATAAAATTATAAATACATACTTTCCCAAGGATGAAGAAAACGATTAACATGAAAAATTATTGTACAACTGTGTTTTTGGTATAGTTACATTTAAAATTAGTTATGCTTTCCAAGGCGCTCTTTGAATCTGATATAATGCAAAGACTCTCTGGAGTTAGAATTTCCTTCAAAGCTTTGAGGGGAAAAGTTCTTCGGAATAACTTCCCGAATATGTACTAATCAAGGCCGGAAGTTTGAATTATCCGCGAACATTCGAGGAATGGTCGTAGATTGCGCAACCTGATTTATTTCCCCTGAACCGTCTGTAAAACTTAATCTGATTTTTCTTTCTTTTACAGGCATAATAAACACGTATGATACCCTGATTTGTCTGCAAAGAACTGCTCACTAGAGACCTAGCCTAGAGAACAAAGTTGACCCGGTAAAAGCAAATGCTTATCAAAAAAACACTGCTTCTTAGCAACCACATCGTCATCA